CCGTCAGCTTTAGGCGAGGTAAGCAAATCCCAGTTCTAGAGCATAAACCCTTTCTCCGTCGTTGCGTTATTGCCCGTCAATAAGTTATGTATCAGCTTCATCAACTTCTTCCAGATATCCTCAGGTGGCGGATACACTTGCACCTGGTATGCTATCCTTGGCGTGATGTAACAATTGATGATCACCACCCTGGCCGTAATTGTGATGAAGAGAGCCTTCCACTTAATCAACTCCACTATGATTTTTTCAAGGCCCGCTTCCAGGTCAGTCCGCTGCTGCCTAAGGGAGTGATCCAGATGCCCAGAATCCGCTGTGCTGCATCCGCCATGACCCAGTTGGAACCACCGAGCGTACACGGCCTCCGCCCCAGATTGTGGCCGATTTGCAGGATTACTTATTTGTCCCGGTTTGTCTGCAAGCCCGACAGCCCCACGAAGTATTCCAGAAGCTTTCCAGCTTTGGCGATTTGCCTCTTTCCCTCCAGAAATAGCGTTGCGTCGTCGGCATAACCAACGTACACTAACTGCTGGTTTGCTTTGTTGCAGAGGCCCGATTTCCGCCGGATTGCTTCCTGAGCCAGGGGTTCCACCGCACAGAGAAAAATGTAAGGAGCGAGCAGGCAGCCTTGTCTCACCCCCGATTTAACTGCCACAGCTTCTCCCAACCAGCCGTTAATCAAGAGTCGCGCTCTCGTGTCCTTGTGCAGACCCTCCACCCAGCCGACAAATCTGTCCGGGAAGCCCATCTATCTGAGGACCGAGAAGAGGAAGCTTCTTGATACCGAGCCAAAAGCTTTACGAAAATCCACCAGCAGCAAGTACCAGTCATCGTTCCCTTTTTTTGCTGCCTCGATGACGTCTGCTACCACTCCGATGGCATCCGAGAATCCTCTTCCAGGGATGAAACTATACTGCTCCGCCGAAATCACCTTGTGCAGGATCGGCTTCATCTGGTTTGCCACCACCCGCGTCAATACCTTGTAAGAGAAATTTAGGAGTGTAATTGGGCGGTAGTTATCCAGGTTATCCTTGTCACCCTTCTTATGGAGCAGAATAGTGACAGCCTCTTTGATGCTTGCAGGAAGCGACGCTGTATCGGCAAAAGACTGTGCCATGCTGAGTAACTCCCCTCCAAGGACATCCCAGTTTCTTTCGAAAAGTTCCTTCGGGAGTCCGTCCTTCCCTGGTGACTTGTCGTTCGCGAGTGCTTTAAAAGCCTGCTCCACCTCAGCCTCTAACCAGTCCGCCTCCAGTGTGGCCGCTGCCTCAGCGTCCAGCTTCCTGCCGGGGAGTGGCTTCCACCTTTCTGACAACGTCCGACCATCGGCGCCAAATAGATTTGTGAAGTAGTCCGTTGCCGCTTTCAGAATCCCTAGTGAGTCTGAGATCTTGGAACTGCCGACTGTTAGTTCTGAGAATTGAGTTCGCTGCTTTCTGACTTTGATCCTTGCTGAGAGAAAAGGTGAGGGAACTTCCCCAGCCAACTCCGTGTTCGTACCAGTCATCATGTGTAACCTGTCTCGTTTTGATGCATGATACTCTCGGAGCTGCGTAACCCTAACCAACAGCAGGTCCCTCGTCCTCTGACAACCAGGGTTCCGCATCTGCAGGTGCAGCTGCACCACTACCTCAGCAAGATGCACCGTGGTTTCCCTGATTCGATTGTTCTCCTCCTTCATGTACGAGCGTAACCCCGCGTTCAATCTTCCCAGCAGCAGCTCAAAATCCCCGACCCCTTCTTCAGCCGCCTTGGTTAGAGTGGCTTCGACTGCTTTTCTGATCCCAGGCCTTCCGATAGCAGCTGTGTGCAACCTCCAGACTCCGGAGCCCAGGTGAGAAGATGCCTTTATCTTAAAGGCAATCTTGATGAAAAATCCGTGGTCCGAAATGTACTCCTCCGGTCTTATGTGAGCAGCAATTTTTAAATGCGGTAAAAGCGAGCAATATATGAGAGCGCGGTCGATTTGAGAGCTGGACTGCTTAGAGGCTGCGTAAAAAGTGTATTTGCGAAGTGTGCGGAAAGCGTCAGATGGCTGAAAGCGACTGCAATGTGAAATAAGCCTGTCATTTTCTAGAGATGTGTCGGAAAGGGATGTCCTATCTAATACTGGGAAAGAGATAGAGGAATCCCGTGTGAGGACAGCTACACCTCCGGCTTTGTCTGTGGGTGGAGTGGTTAAGAATGTGGTGAAGGATGGCGTTTTCTAGTAAGGGTGATCATCAGGAAGGCGTGTGTCAGAGAGAATAAGAATGTTTGCCACTGTACGAGTCCATGTTGTTTCTCTGTCTTATTTTGTTTTGTCATCCACGCCGTTGAGGTTCAAGTCTGCTAAGGAGAAGAAGTTTTTGTTACTCATCGAATCACTGGTTGGCAGCCCTTGTTCATCGACAGGTTGATGATGGTGACTATGCTAACAACCGCAGTCCAACAGACTATCACCAAAAGCACACGGTTCTTGTTCTGCAAGCTCAGAAGTCGTATTCCTTCTTCATGCTGGCAAGGTTTGCCTTGTCCATCGTGACTTTTGTAGCAGTACCCAACTTCTCCAGGTTTAGCAGGTGCATTGCAGAGGTAATGTGATCTGCAGCAGCCATGAAGGTCTTTCCTTTCGCTTTCCTGCAGCACACTTGCGTGCAAATCCACTCTTTGCGGTTGCTTCTGGTTGAGATAAGAGTGATCGCGGGGTCTTTCAAGATGGGGATGACAAGAGCAGAAGTGCTCAAGGATGCATCTGCGAGCACAACAGAGATCGTCAGTGAAGGATGAAAGAGGTAAGGTAGTGGTTACTTCATGGGATCGAGCGATGCAGTTACCATTGATGCGATGGGCTTTTCCCAAGGTAAGGTTCCACTTCCCTATATTGTTCTGCCACTCTGTGATGAACAGACCATGATGCATGTCATAATGCTGTCCAACGTAGAGCAGGCAGGACAGTGCAGGGTAGCAGCAGCTTCGCGCCGATCTCCATTGTCAACAATGTGACGCCAGCGGTACCGATCCCCGGGGTGCTGAACAACCAGGCCTTTGATCACGTCAATGTTAGCTCCAGTAAGAGGATGAGCTACGCGGTGGAAGGCGAAGCCTTCTTTGAAAGCGGACTGCTTGCGCAACTTCGGCTTAAAGCGAACGAGCATGTCCTTCAACACATCCGGTACGATGTTAGCGGGAATACGACAAAAAAGCACTTCAATAGCAAGAGGATTAGACGCTTTCGTCTTGAGGTAAGAAGCATCCTCCGTATGCTGCCAGATGCACTTGATCGAAGGAGCGTTCGCCTTCTGGTACTCGAAGACATGGAACTTTATGTGGTGAGCATCACGTTCATCCAGGAAGGAGATCTGTAGCCGCCAGAAACGCGTTTTTGCCACGTAACCAAGTAATATCTCTTGGATATTGGCTGTGACCCCAGCCTTCTCAGTCAGGGACGAGCACCAAACTTTCGTCATCAGAAGGCGGACAACAACAATGATGGCTTTAATCTCATGTGACAACATCATCGGAATCAGTGAGATTGCAGTAAAACAAAGGCGAAAAGCGTCTTCCTTAGCAATGTCGATTTCCAGTTCTCCGTCCGAGTCATCCTCCAGGAATTCATCAACAGCCGCTGCAGGAGCCTAATGCGACTGGCTCTTATCCTTCACTAACAGGCCAGAGCTTCCAGCGACAGCAGCATCAGTAGTTGTCATTGTCGTTACGTTTACAGCGACATTGTCCGTCGTTGTGTTAACCGTGTTTGCCGCGCCTTGCTCGCCAGCACCATCTCCAACAGGTACCGGCGTAATGATCGGGTCCGTCGAGAGGTCATCAGGGAGCGTGACATCTGCAGTCACCTTCGTCGTGCGTCCCTTCGGAGGCATGGTGCGACGATGACACAAGGATAGCAGCCAATGAGATGCTGACTGAGGACGAGGAGACCAAGAAGCTTGTGAAGCCTTTGCTGCTTAAGAGCTGAGCACCACCTCCTTATAATCTGGCCTCTGCGCCATGGGCTTGCATTCATGGGCAAAATGGAGTGTTCCCGAGGTCTTGGCCTTGGGATCCTGGCAAGTTTGTTGATCTTGTTCATAGTGATTCGGAAGCCAGCCTGTAGGAAAGCGTTGATCTTGTTGGTCTTGTGATAAGGAATCAAGATACCTTGGGACTTGGTTAGCTTGGAATATGCTTGCAAACTTGAGAAATCCCTTAATAGCCGAGGTTATAATGTCCGCGTAATAGACATAAAATTTATATCCTCTGCTTCGTAATGTACTTAGGATAACAGATCTGATCTCAAAGTTACCAACTAGTAAGTAACCTTCACGTAATAGTGTTATGAGTTGTACTAAACAGAGTGCGCGGAAGACTTCTATAAAGAGAACGTGATTCCAGAATGATGAAACAATGAAGAATGCGAGCAAATATAGGGCGAATACTAGCTAGGCGAGAACCTCTAACGTGCGAGGGTTGGATGTGTCGCGATTGGTGCGGAGCGACTCGGAATAGGTTCGGTGCGGAAGTGTAGGCCGAACCCAAACTAAGGCGAATTTTTTGGGTTGTCCTCGCTAGGAGTAGCCTCTATAGTAATGAATTGCATATTCATAACAAATAGGCTCTCGAAAGTCCGCGGAGGAATCCATGGCGGCCTTGCCATCGCCACCGTCATTGTCATTGTAGGAACAGGGCCCTAGTACGCTTTGCCTTGCATGCCCCTTCCCATTTTAGAACGGTATAACGGGGTTACAAGCCCCGCATCCTGGTCCCGGTCCGCCCCTGGTTCAGGCTCTGGTTCTTGAGCTGGTCCGCCAGGTCCGAGCCGGACCCACGTGGACTCAGACATCTGAGGCACGTCCTTAGTAACGCCGTGATGGATCGTTCATCCTTGCTGCCGCAGACCACATTCAGGCCGCGATCGCCCATAGTGTACGTTCCGCTGCTGCTGAGCTTGGGATTATTCACCTTTCTTTTCTTCGCGTCTCTCGCTTACGAATCTCGCGACGCGTGCTCGTCGTTGGACGGTCGCGATGAGGGTGGGTTGAGCTGCGGGTTTCTGCCAACGCTCTTCTCGCTCGTGTCCAATGAGAGCCTCGCGTTGCACCTTCGGAAGCTCACCGCCAAGGCGCACATCGCGGGCACCCCCGAAAACTTTGAAACTGCCCGCTACGTCAAGGAGAAATTTGAGGTGCGGATTCGAGAGTCTCTGGGTAGGATTTGCATTTAGACAACACGTCACTTGCGCGCATCACCGTAGGGTTCCAGATCCTATCAGCTCTTATCGACCCCTACTTCCCCCCTCTTCCCCGCATCCCACGGCAGTCGTACGGGCTGCGAGCGCACTACGCGGACTACCCCGTGCTGCTCTCCTATCCGCTGCGCCAGTCGCTGCGCCTCGTGCGGCCCGTCGCGCGCAGCTTCTCGCTGCGCGAACAGCCCGTCCCCGGCGACCCGTTTAGCGCCTCGCGCGCTGCCACCGACCCTTTTAACGCGTATTCCGGCAGCGGAAGGGTCGGCGGGGGGGTCCGCGGAAGGGTTGGCGGAAAGGGGGAGAGAGAGGCGGAGGGGGAAGGAGCGGGAGAGGCGGAAGGAGCGGCGGTGGTGTACGCGAATTATGGGCGCATGGATGACTTTGAGGTGCTGGTGGCGGCGATTGGGGAGGAGCGGGTGAAGGGCACAGTGGCGCTGATTCGTTATGGGAAGAATTTTAGAGGGGATAAGGTGAGCATGCACAATTTTATTATGGTAAATAAATCTTGTTAGCAATCCAGACTCCTTCATGTGAAATGTGAAACACGGTCCATTGCCTGCCCCGAACGGAGTCCCTCCCTCCCATGATGTTCTCTTCTCTGGCATGACAACAACTACTCATCCTTCCGTACCAAACCGGTCTGTCAGTTTCGGAAATCGGAGAGGTTTGGCGTGGCAGCAGTGCTGCTGTATTCCGATCCAGCGGACTATGCGCCAGAGGGCACTGAGGAGGCTTATGTGTACCCGCAGAACCAATGGCTGCCCGCCACTGGCGCCCAGAGAGGCACCGTCTACACAGGTACTAGAATGCCGAGGCACTGATGCAATGTGTATGCCCCATAGGCCACGGCTGCAGCGCATGTGTACCAACCCTGGTGGTATGCTGTGGGAGAGGCACCACTGCACAGGCTGGTACTGTGGGACTTGGCAGCCAGGCTGTGCGGTGGTGCCATGCCACGGCGGTCTGGCTGGTGTATAAGCGCATGCATGCTCATGCTCATGCACGCACATGCTGTGCTGTGCTGCGCCCATCCCATCCCTCTCCACTCCTTCCCTTCTTCCCTCCAGGCAAGGGCGACCCAGCCACGCCCGGGTGGCCGTCCCACCCCGGCGGGGAGAGACTAAGCGACGAGGAGACGGCCAAGAGGCTGCCACGGATCCCCGTGCTGCCGGTGGGGTACAGTGTGGCGGCGGCTGTCATGGCGCACATGGGGGGCAGGGCCGTGCCGGAGGACTGGCATGGCGGCATGCTGGGCGTGCACTATGTGTTTGGCCCGGGACCCGCTGCTGTGGCCATGGACGTGCAGGTGAGACTGCGTGGGGGGAGGAGGGGGTTGGGGGGGTAAGGGTGTTTGCATGCGCCAGGCACGCACGCACATGGCGCGCGCGCGTCCACCAGGCAAGCACGCACATGGCGCGCGCGCGTCCACCAGGCAGGCGCGCGCACATGGCGCGCGCGCGTCCACCAGGCGGGCGCGGGCGCGGCGCGCGGCGCGCGCGCGTCCACCAGGCGGGCGCGCGCGCGGCGCGGGGCGCGCGCGCGTCCACCAGCCAGGCACGCACATGGCGCGCACGCATCCACCATGCATTACGCAGCATGGGCGAGGCACCTTGACTTGATTGGTGCCAGCCATCCCCTCCTCTCCACTCTCATCCGTCACACGCGCATGCCTCTGCATGCCCGCCCTGCTCATCCCCTGCTGTGAGCATCACCACCACCAGATGAACGCCACTGTGACCACGGCCAGAGATGGCATTTGAGCAAACTCGCTTCTACCCGCCCCGCTGCTCTGATGGCAGATGAACACCACTGTGACCACCATCCGCAACGTCATCGGCGTGCTGCCAGGCACCCACCAGCCGGACAGGTGCGCCGCTGAGGGCAGAGGTGATGCAGACTGCTGGGTGTCTCATCTTGTGTGTGGCAAGGCGAGACCGTTGTTTAGGCGCCTTCAACTGAACTCCCGCCAGCCACCCACCAGGCGCACAGACGAGGTTAGGGCAGCGGGGAGTGTGGAATGCTGGGTGTCCGAATTGCCATGCGACCCACCTTCACTGAAGCAAAGCCACCATGCCTGTTGCTGGTGCCGTTGCTACCATTGCCATGGTGCCACCCAGAGTTGAATAAGTATTCCATGTGCAGTTTAGTAGTGATGCCGTCAGCATCATCATGATGCGTTCTGCCCTCAGGTCAATTATCAATATATACCATCACCATCACCACCGCACCGCCCCCGTCACCGCCGCCACCGCCACCCCCACCCCCACTGCCACCGCCACCGCGACCACGGTTTCAGGTTCATGCAGGTTCATCATATTGGGCAACCATCGTGACGCGTGGGTGTTTGGCGCTGCGGACCCCAACAGTGGAACCTCGTGTCTGCTCGAGGTATCATGCTTCATCACCACTGCTTCCATCCACTCTGTTTCTGTTTCACTGTGCTTCGTGCATCATTCCCTTGCTTGTTCTACTTCTTTATGTTCTCAATATTTCAAAAGTTTTTTAGACATCTCAAAACTTAATGCTGGATGTTGTTGTTCCTTGTGAGCGGTTTTTTTTTCAGGATTTTTCAAATTTGCCGTATTAACGATGCTGGAGCTTGTCACATTCTGCTCTTCTTGCAATCTTCCCTCGCCAGCGCATGGCAGCGCATGGTTGGTCGCCTCGCCGCTCGCTGGTGTTTGCCAGCTGGGATGCTGAGGAGTATGGATGCGTGAGTGTGATTCTAAGGGGGTGACAATGTGACACTGTAGGGGTGACACTATGACAGTATAGGGTGACAAGATAAGGCTGACAGTAGAGAAGGGGGGTGGAGGGGGGGTTGTGAAAAGATGCAGTTTTCTCCCGATTCCTCATTTCTCACTCCCCTGGCCTTTACCCCTTCCATGCCCACCCCAGCACCACCCTTTCCGCGCATCCACATCCCCATCCATTTATTTCCACCCTTACCGCTATACATGGGCAACGAGTGTAGGGTTTTTGCTCTACTCGTTCGAAATGCTCGTTGGGGGCCGAGTGACGAGCCTGTTTTTTTGGCAAAATTACTCGTCCGAGTCGAGCCGAGTAATGCTCGCTGATCTTTTCATACTCGTCACATGCTCCTGCGCGAAGACGAGCATTTTCGTGCTCGTTTTATGCTCGACGAGTTTTTTTTTGCTCGTCGAGCAAGTCAAACTCGTCGCGTGGAATTTGCCCGGGGGGTCAAATTTGGCGGGAAAATTTGACCCCAGATCTGAACCCGGCAAATGTTCCCAACCGCTTTGCGTACAGGTTGGACAACAATAGCAGCATCAAACCGTCAAGTGATGGGTGTTTCCCATCACATTCAAACGCTCAATGCCTAGTCGTCACCCTACTCACGCAACTCTAAGCTTAGCCCGCGCCATGTTAGCATCGCCATTGGCTTGTTAAACTAGGTCGCGTTTGGTTCCTTGGGGTTTTGTGTGACTGTTAAGCTGTAGTTTTGTTTATTGTGATGTTTCTCATCTACGCGGTGCAGAGGCAGAGGCAGCAGCAATGGCAGCAGCAAACCTGCTGCCACCAATGTCTTCGGTGGGGCCGTGGGGGACAAGAATGGTTTGATGGCGCGTCTGGCGGCCTTCCGTAGCCGTCAGGAGCAAACTAGCCGCGATGAAGTGCAGATCTACATCAATGAGCAGATGGAGCCGTTGGGGGTGTGTCCCCTCGCCTACTGGCGCCGTCGGAACGACCTAGAGGGCCTACAGGTAATGGCCCTCGACTACCTCGGCATCCCCGCGACATCAGCTGCGAGCGAGCGCACGTTTTCGCAGTGCCGGAACCTCATCACGTGGCAGCGGCATAGGCTCGGCCCTGAGCGCGTGCGAGCCTGCTTTATTCTCAAGTCTTTTGTTGACTTGAAACCCGGGTGCAAGCTTGGGAAGGCGGCAAAGGAATTGCTGGCCCAGGCGGAGAAGGACGCCGTGGGTCTGGAGATTGATGACGAGTGAAGTGTGTTTCTGATCATGGGCTTGTGGGATTGGGTGGACGGCATGTATGGATGGAGGGGATGGGCGTGGCGTGGATGAGGGCGGTTGCTGCTGCTACAGGCAGGGGGAGTGGACTTGAGTGGAGGGATGGCGCCAGGGCTATATGGAAAAGGGTTCATGATAAACTGTATGCTGTTTTTCAGCAAGCGCACGCTCACCAGGGCGCTAGACCTGGCCCCTTGTTAATTTATGACATGCGCAGGGATGTTTAGACGCATCGATGCTTGCTTGGGGTGCCATTACAGTGGGTGGCATGCAGCAGGGTATCCTTGGGCGTTTATAGGGTACACGGGTCCACCACGATGCGAGGAACACATCACTAGTTAAATAGCAAGCCTCCTTGCGGTTTCTATGTGCTCCCCATTGCTTCCCTAGACCCCCCGTCCTACCCATTAAGCCACCAATACCCTAGGCTGGCCTGGCAGTGTGTTTTTTTCCAACAGGTGCAAGCACATAGGGCCGAGCCGAGTATTTCAATGCTCGGGCGAGTATTCTCGAATACTCGCCCGAGCCTACACCTATACAACGAGCCTAGAGTAGGCCAAAACTACCAAAATGCTCGCCAGAGCAATGCTCGGCTCGAGGCAAATGCTCGGCGAGCATGGCCTGTGACGAGCCGAGTATTACTCGGCTCGTCACTTTGACCATGGAAAGCTTCCGCCCATCCACATCCCCATCCATTTATTTCCACCCTTTCTGCCCATCCACATCCCCATCCATTTAATTCCACCCTTTCCGCCCATCCACATCCCCATCCATTTATTTCCACCCTTTCCGCCCATCCACATCCCCATCCATTTATTTCCACCCTTTCCGCCCATCGACATCCATCCCCATCCATTTATTTCCACAACATCATCCGCCCACCCCTGCCAGTTGGGGTCAACAGAGTTAGTGCTGCCAACAGCAGCCATGGCACACATCAACGTGGATGTGACCGTAAGGGGGAGGGGCAAGACACGTTGTTCTCGCCACCCTTCGCATTCACGCATTCTGTGCCATTGCCCTCTCCTCCCGCCCTTGTCACCCATGGGCAGCTGGGATCAACGGAGTGGGCAGAGGACAACGCAGCGGTGCTAGCAACGTCAGCAGTAACGTACATCAACGTGGACACGGCCGTGGGGGGAGGGGGCTTCCATGCCTCCGCCACCCCGCAACTTGATGACCTCATCCGTGACGTCAGCAGCCAGGTAGGCATGCTGCCATCAGCAGCTAGATGATGATGATGATGTCAGCAGGCAGGTGCGCTGATGCATCGAGCCATGTGGACCATGGTGAGACAGCTCGGTGTTTTCTTTCCAACCTGTTCTCGTGCACCCCTTCCCTGCCCCACTTCATGCTGTTGCTTTTGAGAATTCTCAAAAGTGACCCCACTCCATGCTGTTCTTCTCCTCTCCCCACTCTCTTTCCCCACTCTCCCTCTCCCTGATTTCCCTTGCTTCCCTCCCCCCACTCTTATTTTTCACTCTTTGTACCCAATTTCCCTCTTCTCCCTCTCTCCACTCTTTTCTCCCACTCTTCCTCTCCCCACGCTCTCCTCCCCTTCATCCGTTGTACGCACCCTCAGGTAGCCAATCCCAACGGTCCAGCTGGTGAGTCGCTATTGGAGGGTTGGGCGGCTGAGCGCAACACGTCAAAGCCTGAGGCAAGTTGTTGATGATGCATGGTGCATCGTGCAAGGGTTATCCGGTGAAGCACCAAGTATGGTGCTTGAGTGAGAGGTGAGAACCTTAGATGGATGGATTTGACAGAGCCAGCGTTTTTACGTTATTGTCAAAGCTCTACGTTTTGACGCTTGACACATCCCTGCTGGTAATTTGATGTTGGCTTGACGCTCGGCCAAACAAACAGTTGTTCAGGGAGGGGGAAGCAGGGGTGGAAGGCTGGAATATGGTAAGTTAGGAACCGTCAGCGCAGCGCCTGCATTGGATGGTGTAGGGGGGGGAGAGGACATGGCAAAAAAACTGGAAATCGCCTATGTGCACTTAGCTAGTGAAAGGACTAAGTTGCTGGTCGACTAGATCCAAACCCTAAAATGAAGTCGTCAGAATAGAGAAAGGGCTGAAGTGTGTGGTGTAGACAGGTGGACTGGTTGGATTTTGTGGGTTGGCGTTTTTGGGGTGTTGGCTTTCGAGTGGAATTTTGGAATCGCGTTTTGGCGCGAAATCACGAGATTAGTTTATTGTGGCCGAAAAATAGTCGATTTCGGGCAGCCCAAAAAAAAAGGCAGCGTCCAGCGTCAAAACACAACGTCTTGACTCTTCCTTAACCCTGTTGGAGCATCAAGTCCATCTTAGGTGAGAACTCTAGTTCTGGTGTACCTCCCTGTAGCATTCGTTTTTCCGCGCCTCAATTTAGACTCTCGTTCTGGTGTACGTGTTAACCTCCCTTTAGCATCTGGTTTTGAGGTGCCTACTCTGGTTCTGGTGTAAGTGTTAACCTCCCTGTAAAGCACCTGTTTCTGCAGCGCACATGCTCTCACTCACATCCCCCTTTGCATGCGTGATTCGTCTCAAAGCTCAGCTGACCATCCCTTTCTGCAACTCCAACCCGAGTCATGTGTCACTTCATTCTTGTCTATCCCCACGTGCACTCCTAGAACATGCTGTAGTTGGGGCGGCTGGGAGGCGGATGCAGCGACTTTTCACCATTCCTGCAGCACCTTCGCATTGCCGCAGCAGACACCTACTTTGGAGGATGTGAGTTTTTTAAGGGGATGGTGTGAGGTTTGAAAGGAGTAGTGAGAAAAGAAGGGGTGGGATGGTGTGTGGTTATGAGCAGGTGGTTTCTTAGGCTAACCTATATGTATCACAGCGTGTATGACACCTACCATTGGATGGCTTCTAAGTCGATTCTCCTCTCCCTTCCCTCCTCCCTCCCCCACTCTCCCCCCTCTTCCTTTCCCCTCTCTCGCGCCACCAGCCTTCCCCATGTTCCACAGTGTGTATGACAACTACCATTGGATGGCCACCTTTGCCAATCCACTCTTCAAGCGCCACGTGGCAATCGCCAAGCTGATGGCTGGCGTGGCTGCCAGGCTGGCAGGCAACCACCGCCTGCCCTTCAACTACACCGCCTACGCCGTCCACCTGGAGCATGACGTGGCTAGGCTGCAGGCTGACGTGGCGGAACAATTCGCCCCGTCATCTCTCTCCGTGGCGCCGCTCTTTGCGTCTGTCTCTCACCTCCTGGCTGCTGCTCAAAGCATCGAAGTGGAAATCGAGGTGTGGAAACTGGTATTCCATGTTCAGGTGGGGTGCACAGCGGCGGGGTGCACAGCGGTGGGGTGCTCAACGGTGGGGTGCACAGCAGTGGGGTGCACAGCGATGCTCAGGTCATCGAATCTGCTCTGCACGCCTTACCAACCCCTCGATTTTCGCCTCGTGTCGTCCCTCCCACCTTCCATCTCGCACTTCCCTCACCCTTTTCCCGTCAGCCCTCTTCTCTTCACCCTTTCCTTCCACCTCACACCCCTCCCACCCAATCGCAACCTTCACGAACCCCACCCCACACCCCTCGAATCCCTCCCCTCCCTCACCCCCCTTCCTTCCCACCGCCAGAGCGCAGCACAGTGTCCAGCAGCAGCGCATGCAAGTGCACGTTGGGGAGGGCGTATCCCATGGAGGGCGTATCTGGGATGGGGTGCCAACTGCCCGGCGTCCACCTCGGCGCTGGATTAGAATTTTGCTTGATTTAATAGCTACATCCTCCGCTATTGCTTTAGTATTTCTAGGGGAGCGGCATCTCACACACACTCCTCCCATTCTCCCCTCTCTTCCCCCCTTCCCTTTTTTAATCCCCACAGGCAATTGAAACGAGAACCGCCGGGTGCCGGTCAAGGATAAAAAATACGACCGAAATATTGATTTTTTAACCGTATTATTCGGTATCGTATTATACGGTCGTTTAAAACGGTTTTGTACGGTTAAATGTTAATTTTATGTTTCGATTAAAAATACGGTCGTTTTTTCCGGCCGAAATTTTGGAACTGAGAAAGTGTACACCGAATTTCAACAATCAGCCCCGTCGACGCCAATATGGGGGATTTCGTGAGAAGTCGAGTCAGTCTCGCTCGAATTTGGGCCGAGTCGCGCATGTTTGGAAAATGTTGTGGCGCGACATTTTGACATCTGACGAACGGTATGAAATCGCTTACCCGTTTCGCAGAGTCGTTTGAGTAGTTCGCCGAATCGCGACGAAACCAAATTTCCGTGGCGCGGAAATGTACACCATTGGCGAACCCATTCAACCTTCTTACCCGTTTCGCAGAGTCGTTAGCACAACTCGCGCGTTGGGTTTAGTTTTCGCCTGCAATCATGACGCCTCGCACAATTGCGCGCGATACATTTCCAGCCAATAGTAATCGCCCATCCATCTCCCATCTCACGTCATCCATTCTTCAAACACCCCTCGTCAAAGCAGCACAATCAAGGAGTAAGAGTTACATATTGGAGGAGGAAAATCCCATTCGACACATTCATCCTCTCTGGCTGCCGTATCTCAGAACAACTCACCCACACTTTCTTAGCATAGTATAGTTCAACGCCATGGTGCGTCCCGCTTCTCAGTTTTGGGAGCATGTCATCAAGATTAAGGATGACAAAGGCAACTTAGTCGGTGCTACCTGCATTCATTGCAAGAATCCAGTGTCGGCTAATGCGACTAAGATAGGCGAGCACATGTTCGGCACTAACAAGAGGGACAAGAACGTCGCGATGTGCAAGTCGGACTACGCTAAGCAGCTGCGTGCGACAGCCGATCAAGAGCGCTCGACCACGGGAACTGCTACGGGAGGATCAAATTGTGCCTCCACGTCCACGGAGGAGGCGCCGCCCGTGCGTCGCTCCCGGCAGCGAGATATCCGTGACATGACGGACCAAGTTGCGCATAATCGCCTGGATTACCTGTGGGCTGCTGCAGTTGCCGAGAACGACCTCGCTTTCAACGTCAGCAAGTTGAAATCGATCCAGGCCTTCGTTGACGCGGTGATCATGTACGCGAAACCGTACACCCTCCCAACCCCTTACAAGGTATCCGGCCCGCTGCTGGACAAGCTGAAGGCGGACTCCGAGGACCTGCTGCGGCCGCTAAAGGAGAGCTGGAAGACTAGCGGGTGCATGCTCCCCGTCGATGGATGGACATGCATCAAATCGCGCGGTCTGGTGTGTGTCATCGCGCAAAATGACACTGCACCCGTCATCGTCGACATCGTCGACTCGAAGACCGCCAAAAAAACCGGGGACTACTTGGCGGGTCTTATTCAGGGAGCGATCACCACGGTGGGGCCGAAGCATGTCATCCAAGTCGTAATGGATAACGCTTCGAACAACAAAAACGCCGCCAACAAGCTGAGCGCGGATTATCCCCATATCTTCTTCACCAACTGCGCCGCCCACTGCCTCGACCTCATGTTGCACGACATCGGCAAGATCCCTGCTGTTAAACTCGTCCTTTCCCAAGTGCATCAGGTAGTGATGATGATCAAAGGCTCCGCCTCGGCCGTCATCTTGTTCCGTGAGCTTGTTACCAAGCTCTCGTTGGTGCGGCCTGGTGCAACGAGATTTGGCACCCAGGTCATCATGCTCAGCAGGTTCCTGGAGGTGAAGCGCGCGTTGAGGGCGATGGTAATCAGCGAGGAATGGGAGGATGTGGCGGTGGCACGGACGGAGGAGGGGATGGAGGTTAGGAAGCTGCTTTTGGACGATGTTTTTTGGGACCGTGGGACGGCCGTGCACCGCCTCATGACTCCCATCTACGAGGTTCTTCGCGCCGTCGACACACGGGCTCAAGTCATGGGGCAGCTGTACGGCCTCATGCTTGAGGCCACGGTGAAGACTAATGCGGCGGCTGAGACGGCTGGTGAATGAGACGGCTGAAAGTATTACGCTTTGGTATTGTTTGTTAATCTCTCCACCCACCCGGTCATGCTTCCTATCTAATTAGTGCTCGTTATTCACCGTGAGCAGCCGCACACTTCATCAAGCGGACGGGTCTTCTATTACCGAAGGACAAGAGCACCTTTCTCACCACCATCAAGGCGATCATTGCCAGGAGGTGGGACGCACAACTGCACAACCCCCTGCGCGCCATCGGTTGGCTCCTCAACCCCCGTAACCAGTACATCGGGGAGGTAAGGAATGACAAGGAGATTAGGAAGGGGGTGGATGAGGTAATCAAGGCCCGAGGCGGGGATGTGCAGCAGCGCATAACGCTAGCTGCACAGGTGGCTCAGTTTCATCGAGGGGAGGGCAGGTTGGGCTCTGACGATGCCCGTTGGGCAGCAACTACCTTGGTGGAGGCGGGCCGCATGACGGAGGCGGAATGGTGGTTCCTGTTTGGTGGGGATGTGCAGGCGCTCCAAGACCTGGCTATGACGTCACTCTCACAGCCAGTCACCTCCTCCGAGGTGGAGAGGTACTGGTCGGCGCTGGCACGTGTGCAGAGGCGCGACCGGAACCGCCTCATGGCGAAGAAGATGACTGACGTCACCTTCGTCGCCTTCACCCGACGGGCCCGTGATGCCTTTGATCGAAGGGCAGCCTTGCGTTCCAAGCTCTATCAGGACCTGGGCAACGGCACCCTCAGGGAAGGGGCTGCCATCATCCCAGCCGAAGTGGAGGTGGAGGAAGGGGATGCGGAGGAGGAGGCACCCGTGGAGGAAGAATGCACCATTGATTGGTCGGAATTTGGGAGCATCGGCAAGAAGAGGAAAGGGAAGGCGGGTAAGTCATCTAAAGGGAAGAAGAAGGGGAAGGGCAACGGTGCATGCAACGGAAAGGGGAAAGGAAAAGCAGGGGATGCGGAGGAGGAAGAGGAGGCGGAAGACAGCGGTGGGGAGGAGGAAGAGCCTGCCCAGAATCCCAAGGGACGATATGCCTGGGATTGCAGCGACGGTTCAAGTGGGGAGGAGGAAGAGGAGGAAGAGGATGACGAGGAGTATGACGGTTAGAGTGGGGAGGGAGGAGGAAGAGGATGACGAGGTGGTGGAGTAGGAAGAATAGAAGGCAGCAGGGTGAGTATAGTGGGGTGGGGATGGATTTTGGAGGAGATATAGGCTCAAGGCCGGTACTTGCCTAGGTATGCATGCATAGTAAGGGTAGCGGCAGTATTAGTGGACCTTAGCATGCCTGTTTCTCCTTAGAGTAGGTTGTTATCGCCTTCCTAGTCTTTGTTGTAGCCATTTCAGTAGATTCTGGAAAAAACTCCAACATAAAAAAGGCCAACAAAAAAACGACCGAAATTTTGGAAAACTGAACGTATAATACCATCGAAAAAAACGCCCCGTATAATACGATAGCCGTATTTTTTATCCTTGGTGCCGGTGCAGGGGGGGAACGTGTCCCATGGAGGGCGCATCTGAGGCAGGTGCCGACTGCCCGGCGTTAAAGTCCTTTGACAGAGTGAACGAGCGCCTCTTTCTGGCTGAGCGGGGGTTCCTTGACGGGCATGGCATCGGGCCTCAGTACACGTGGTTCAAGCACCTGGTGGGTGGAGGGGAAGACTCACGGTGTGAAGGAGAAGGGGTGGATGCGTGTGGGTGGGTGTGTTGTGATACAAGGCAGTTGAAAGGGTTGAGTTGGCGTCCGTTTCTGGCGAAGAGGGGGTTCCTGGTGGGGCACGATATTAGGTCGCACTACACTTCATTCAGGCAGGCATCTGGTGGGTTGGAGGGAAGAGTCACGGTCGGTGTGTGTGTTTGTGTATCTGTGTGTGTGTGTGCGTATGCTTGTGTTGCGGGGGTGGGTGCGGGGGTGGGTTCGGGGGTGGGTGCGGGGGTGGGTGCGGGGGTGGGTGCGTGCGTGGGTTCGTGGGTGCGTGCGTGCGTGCGTGCGTGCGTGCGTGGGTGCGTGCGTGGGTGCGCGCGTGCGTGCGTGCATGGGCGCGTGCGTGCGTGCGTGCTTGCGCGCGTGCGTGTGTGTGTGTGTGTGTTTTTTTTTTCTTAGAAGTGACTCATGTTCAGTTTACATAACGATTATAAACACTTCCCAATCCAGTTTCAGAAAGTCCCCGACCTCCTTTTGTTTCCCAATCACACCCCTGCCAGGCGCACGGGCCTGAGGAGAATGACAGCGATGTGGTGTGTGGTCTAGAGAGAGAACTACCGGTAGACGCTGGTGGGTCCAAGTTCAATCAAGGTGTAAGCCAAGGTGTGCTCCTTGAACCCCGTCTTCAAGACTCATCTTGAATCTCCTTTGCTTTCCCAACACCCCCCTGCCAGGTGTACGGCCCTGAGAAGGACGACGTCTATGCCACGTCAGCATTCCCGGGCATCCGTGATGCCATTGCTGACGTCATCAAGAGCAGCGCCTCTAAGGGAAATCTCGAGGATGGGGCGGGTGCGGTGAAGAGGAGAAGCAGTAGTGAGGGTGGGGAGGAGTGGAGTGCGGTGCTGCATGAGATTTTCGGGGCGGCACGGGCAATTGAGAGGGTGGCGAAGATCCTCAGGGGGCAACTGCTGTGAGTTGGGATGTGCAATACGGTGCTGTGAGATGGTGTTCAGTGCTGTGAAATGGTGGAGCTGTGTCACAACGTGCACAACGTGGTTCGTGGACCGTGGCGCAACGTGGTTCGTGGACCGTGGCGCAACGTGGTTCGTGGACCGTGGCGCAACGTGATTCGTGGACCATGGCACAGCGAGGCTTGGACTGTGGTGCAGGGCCTGCTCTTGGTGCTCAGTGCTCACACATGCTTCGCCATGCGTGTATTAGAGCCTGTGCTCTATGGTGCAGGGTAAAAGGCGTCGACAGTGCTTCCATACAAGCACTGCCATGGATAATGGTTGGTGACGGTGGGTGATGGTGGTGATGGTATAGTTGGTGGTGGTGATGGTATACTACTTGGTAGTGGTGGGTGATTTTGGTGAACGGGTTTGTAAATTATGATGTTTGTTCACAGACATGTGCACAGTGGTATAGTACAGTATGTGTATATTGCTCAATAAAGTTGCATCAACAATCAGCAACAAGGGCCACACCCGTGCAAGCCTAAGACTTCAACGGCATCTGTGTCACACCCTTGGCCTTGGTGCTGATTCTTGATGCGCTACACCTACGGTAACATCGTCTCCTCAGAGATGAGACGCTATCACACAGGCGTGCATCCGAGGTTGATGACACCCTGGTGAAGAACAAGAAGTCAGGCAATTGTACAAGAGGACAACAAGAAACACTCAAAGGTTTGTTAAGATTAGAACTAGAATCAGGAGCCATAGCTAGGAGAACCCTAGCTAGGCAAGAGAAAGTATAGGTAAGAAGGGGTTTCACTAGCAGCAATGAGGATACATATAGCAAACCCTAGATGGGTTGTACTCGCTATAGAGCACCCTGCTACAGGCTAGAGAATAACATTCTGACACACCCCCATAGCCAAAGTGGGGTGTAATCAGTACAATGAGCAAGCAGGTATAGAGCAGGTTCACAAGTGCAAGCAAAGCTAGAGGCTTTCACAAAGGGCAAGTGAGGAGGAGGAGGCGAGACTGTAGGAGGAGAGGAGATAAGAGGCGACGGCTGAAGCTGCAGACACACGGGCAACAGGAGTCATACTGGCACAGTGGCTACCGGAACAGCGCCCCGGACTACAGGAGTAACTGGCTCCGCGGCTAAGAAGAGCGGCAGACGAGCAACGGACCCACGGGCGACTGGCGCAGCTGGCTACGACTGGGCTACCGGAACAGCGCCCCGGACTACAGGTGCTGCTGACGACAAGACGGCAGCCTCCGCTCAACCTCCCCCGACCGTCCCACCCCCTTTTCACACACCCCCTGCTTCAAACCCTAGCTCCACTCCCACGTCACCCCCCTAGCACCACTCCTTCGGCTCCCACACACCCACCCCCCTCAGCGGCAGCTGCAGCAGCGGGAGACGGAGGAGGAGGAGGAGGAGGAGGAGGAGCAGGGGACGGAGCACTCAGCCAGCACCCCCATAGGCGCCACCCCCACACTCGCCAGCCCCCAAACCCTAACAGAGGCAGGATGGGGGGGGGGGAAGGGGCGATTCGGGGGCGATTCGGGGGAGGGCGCGTGACTCCCCAGGGCGACGCGACGGGGCAGCGGGCTGGGCGCGCGCGGCCTCCCAGGGCGCCGCGACGGGGCAGCGGGGGGTCGCGCGCGGCTCCCCAGGGCGCCGCGACGTGGTTGCAGGGTCGCGCGCGGCTCCCCAGGGCGCCGCGACGAGGCAGCGGGGCCGCGCATGGCCCCCCAGGGCGCCGCGACGAGCGGGGGGGGCCGCGCACAGCTCCCCAGGGCGCCGCGACGGGGCAGCAGGCGTCGCGCGCGCTTCCCAGGGCGCCGCGACGGGGCAGCGGGGGCGACGGGGGGGTCTGCTGCAGGCGACGGGCGAGCTGCAGTAGGCGACGGGAGGGAACCGACGGGGGGAAACCGCCGCGCACCCCGGGGCGCACGGCGGGCAGGAAACCGCCGCGCGCTCCGTGCGCACGGCGAGCAGAAATCCGCCGCGCGCACGAGCGCGTGGCGGGAAGAAAAATCCGTCGCGCGCCACGGGGCGCGCAACACATAGAACAGCAGCGGAAGCAGGTGGGCCCACAGGCCAGGAGCGTGGCCGCTCTGATAGCATGTTAAGATTAGGACTAGAATCAGGAGCCATAGCTAGGAGAACCCTAGCTAGGCAAGAGAAAGTTTAGGCAAGAAGGGGTTTCACTAGCAGCAATGAGGATACATATAGCAAACCCTAGATGGGTTGTACTCGCTATAGAGCACCCCACTACAGACTAGAGAATAACATTCTGACAAGGTTACGTGAGGAAGTCGCAAAGTACTCGAATCGTTCAGGAGAGTGTCGGGTCTGATAAGTTACCGAATGGTGTGCATGTTGAAAGCCTTGGAGTTGGAGGTGGCCCAGATCATGTTGTTGTTACACGTGTAACTGACAGGACTCAGAACACCCTTGCGTGAGCGAGTGAACCTGAAATGAAAGGTAACACATGGCACGTTAATAACTTTGCGGAAAAGAATGCCACATGCATAACGCATACAGTCCTGCGGCGGGAGCACATGAAACTCACTTCACAATCTTGCCACCATCAGCAGTGGTTTCGGTCGGAGGTCCACTGGAGATCCCCGATTGATCCCACAAACTGGATCGGACGGCCCTCAGAATCGAAGGTGAGAACATTAAGAGAAGCCATAGCCAGCAGAGCAGGGTGGCGCGCGACCAGCAGGGCAGCACGCAGGCAAGGGAGAGCGACGCGCAGGCAGCAGGCCGGCGCGGCGGGCAGGGCAGGGGGGCGCGCGGGCACTAGGGAGGCGCGCAAGGCAGGGCAGGGCGGTGCGCGGCCAGGGAAGGGCGGCGCGCGGCCAGAACAGGGCGGCGCGCGGGCATGGGGGCGGCGCGACGGGCAGGTCAGGGCGGCGCGCGGGCCCTAGGGTGACGCAACGGGCAGGGCAGGTCGGCGCGCGGCCAGCAGGTCGGCGCGCGGCCAGCAGGGCGGCGCGACGGGCAGGGCAGGGCTTACGCAGGCGGCACGACGTAGGGCAGGGCGTGCGCGGGGCGACACGACGCAGGGCAGGGCGTGCGCGGGGCGGCGCGACGCAAAGCAGGGCGTGCGCGGGGCGGCGCGACACAAAGCAGGGCGTGCGCGGGCGGCGCGACGCAGGGCAGGGCGTGCGCGGGGCGGCGCGACGCAGGGCAGGGCGTGCGCGGGCAGTGCGACGGGCAGCAGGGCAGCGCGCGGCCAGCAGAGCGGCGCGACGGGCAGCAGGGCAGGGTGGCGCGGCCAGCAGGGCAGCGTGACGGGCAGCAGGGCGGCGCACGGCCAGCAGGGTGGCGCGACAAGCAGGGCAGGGTGGCGCGACAGCCAGCAGGGTGGTGCTCGTGCAGGGCAGGGCAGTGCGACTGGTGGGGTAGCGCGACAGGCAGGGTAGGGCGCTACGGACAGGGTAACGCGCTACGGGCAGGAAACTAGTTGGTGGGCCCTAAAAAAACGGTCCTGGAATAGGACCTGCTCTGAAACCATGTCAGAATACTGAACGAGAATAGATTGCATTGAGAAGAAGATGGGTACAAGTACTAACCCTAGATTGGGTTGTACCCCTACCCCACTACAGCCTACACAACATAAGCATAAGAATGTTCTGACAACAGGCACGTTGGCTTGGGGGGTTATGGGCGCACTCACCCGCTACACAAAAAGCCTTTTTATCATGGTGGTTAGTGGCTGGGATTTTGACATGGTATCAGAGCGAAGATCTCGGGTTCGAATCCCAGTGTGTGCATCTCGGGCATCTCAGTGCGGGGGGGGGTGTTAGAGGTCCATTAGAGATCCCCGATTGATCCTAAGGAAGGGTATCATGCGCATTGGTCTGGGGGGTTATTAGCGCACTCACCCGCTACACAAAAATTTATTTTTATCCCAGTGGTTAGTGGATGGGATTCTGACAGTTTCCATTGATTTTGCAGAGAGCTTAAGTGCTGCCGCAATTGACTTCTTGATCACATTGAAGGCCGTAGTCTTGCCCTTCATCGTGCATGCCAGAATGCTGTCGGGACGTTCAGATTCCCTACCACCGCGTCGGCAGGATCCATGAAGCCAGCTTTCTTCGTCCAGCCAATGGACATTCAGCCTGTCTCGGCGCCACTGCCGGGCTTCGCCTCGAGGGCAGCGACGATTCCGTCTTTCTTCGTAGTGATGTTCCAGTGCAGGAGAAACAAACAGGCGGAAGGAATGGAAAAAAGGAGTCACGGGACTTTTAAGGCGACTCAAAAGTAATTGTCTTTTTTTTTTTTTCCATTGGCCCGGACGCGGAATGAACCGATTATGAGGTACGAACGGGAGCCTGAACCTGAAACCCTAAACCAGGAAGAAGTGAAAGGTGCGATGATATGCAATTTTGAATTAGGAAGTTGCGCCCCTTCAACCGCCGCTAGTCCCGAATAAAACGAATACTGATTTAGAAAAGACAAGATACCCATCAGCAGTGAGCTTGACAGACTTAGGCGTATGGCGCTAGAGTCGACTTGGTGCAGGTAGTTGCCGTGGGCTTAACAGCAGTCGTGCCAGCGTAGTGTCGCGCCGCCGACGAACTGTTAGTCATGGCAAGCATCAGAACGGCGAGCGACGTCACGAGAAAGGAAAGTCGGGATGAAAACGAGGCGAGATGGACGTTAAAGGCGACGAGGTGGTGTCTTTGAGCTGACGATTCTGAGATTTTTCAATGAGTAATGCTGGCTATTTGTCAGCCAAATATGCATTTTGGGTCCCTTGGTGTTGGGTGGGATGTGAGTGCGGTCGAAGCTGGTGCGGAAGGGAGAGAGAAAGGTGAGTAACGAGTGACTCCCGACCCGAGACGAGACGCGATTTCACCAAATTCGCGTTTCGTCGTCAACCGAGATTTCACCGAACCATTAGTTTCCAGCATAACTGTTGGAATGAACTGCTGCTGCTACTGCTGCTCACGTGGCACCAGGGTGGCGGGAATTTTTTCACGTGGCGAAAATTTTCGCCACA